TATAGGAATAAAAACCATGGCTCACATGAGATATAGCCTAAATTCCTAAACAGGAGATATATAAGGGATTATTATAAAGGTTATTAAGGGGGATACTAGGAGTTTACACTATGGCTCACATGGGTTACGTGGGGTTCAGGTTTGAGATTTGGGAGCTTTCAAAAAAAGGAAGCCCCTGTCTTGTACGTTGGGCAGTATCGGGGTCTACACTTGGAACCGCCTATTCAGGGAAACCCCGATCTGCGATTTCGGGTTTTGTGGCTTGGGGCTTGGGGTTAACAGCTTCTGCTTTAAGCAACCCCTCTTCTCATAGACTTTCTAGCACCGCGACTAGAGACTTTCGCTGTAATTGTACAATGGCGTCACGGCGCAATAATTACTACTGGCAGGGCCGATGAGCACGGCATGCAGGGATCTCTGCACATTTTGTTTGCCACAGAAAAATGTTTGCTGGCTTGGTGGCAACCGAATGAACCAACATGAAATTGTCGGAGGATCTTGGCGGGAGGAGAGCGCAAATAACTTTGCAGTCCTACTGCCTGAGCTTAAGCTAGTGTAGTGAACCTCACAGCACAACCGGTAAAACTCTTATAGTCTCCCTTAATAGAATATGGGGTATATGCGGATCTAATTATAATATACCCAAATCCACATTCTATCTACTTAAGGGGGACTGTACCCTAAACCCGAAACCCAGTATAGTAGTTTCCATTTTCTTTTCCATTATCCCTATACAAACCCAATATAACCTATAGAAGGGGGACTAGACCCTAAACCCTAAGCCCTTAATCCTGAACTCTGAAACCTTAACCACTCGACCACACGTCCTTAGACCGGGAAACCAGTCTCTGCAAGGTGGGCAAAAGGTGGCGAGGCCCATGCAAAGTAGCCTGGCTTCACTCTGAATCTCCTAGCTGGCTAGGGTTTAAGAGTTAAGGGTTAAGGGTTAGTACTAGGGAAATCAAGGTTCAACAGTGCAGATGATGGCAATAATGAAAAGGATGCTGGCAGCAGAAGCATTGGCATCCCCAGCTCAGCTGCAGTGGTGAGTAGAGATGTGTATTAGTGCAAAGCATGACACCCCATTTCTTCATCTCCTACCAAGCATCACCCGTATATCTCTGCCCTCCAACCCTCAGAGAGCTCTATATGATACTTGCTCTTTCTCATTGGTCTGTTCTCAATTGGGATCATATACCTATTCGGGGGGGCCTCCTGTCAGGGAAGGGACACACCCTCAAGATTTTTCTGTAAACGCGTTTGCGCAGATGTAGGTTGTCCAAACTGCTGATATTCTTTACTATTTTTTGTTGCTATTATTTTCCATCATTGTTACTAGTTACTAGTATCAGTACTTTAACTAGTATTCTGATTATGACTACCCCTACGTAAACCTTAAACCCTCATTATCAAAATCATTACTATTACACATTGTTCTATTATTGGTCCTCAGCGCACTTCTTAACTGGTACACGTGGGGATCTGACCGTGGAGCCGTTTCTGTTCATGAAGTCACTGCGTGTGCAGATTGGGCCTCTGTTCAAGGAAGCGGGCTTCTGACTTAAGCTACTCTGATCAGGAAACCTGATTTTTTGCTATATACCCATATTATGTTAACTTGATTCAAATTCCTTAGCAGCAGCCCAGTACGTGGTACCCAGAAAAAACCTTCTTACATGTCTATGGCTAAGAGCGTAAGGATCTGAAAGCGTAATGTTGAAATTGTGTTCATGAGCTTTCTGCCTTCAGGTTTCTAATGAAGGCTCTTCACGTGCAGTTGGGCCAAGGTATACGGTGTCCAGCGTCATCTTTGTTGCCCAGATTGTGTGCGTTGCGATCGGTTGGATGCTGGCTCACAGCACAGGGGGCCAGGCGCGTCATTGTCCTTTGAAAGATTTAGGCGCAAGGTTGAGGATTGAGGGTTCCGCCAAGGTGATATTGGAGTTCCCAGCTAGGAATAAGGAAGATCATGTTGTGCTTATTTGCCATGCAGATCGTTCTTCATGCGAGCGCTGAGATGTGAGATTAGGCAGATTAGCGCCTAGGAATCTACCCTAATATAGCCATGAGGGTTTTGATCTACGGGATGGTGTCAAGAACTATGCGAGCTTGGTTTAGGGTCTATAGGTCAGGTAGTAGATCCCCTCCATTAGTGCTGCGGCGGTATCAATAATATACAGGATTATACCGGTACCGTGACATAAGTATCTTGATGCCTGGTGGTTGGTATTAATTTTTAGGTCGGACGATCGCCGAAGGTATCACTTTTCATAGATGGTCAGACTGCAAGACCGCCTGATTTCTTGGCTTTCAGAGGTTCCATGGTTACTTGCTTCTCCGCAACTTCTTCTACTGACTACAAAAACAAAATTACTACTATTGTACTATTGGAATAAAGCGCTCAGCCTCAGAGGCTTGGAGGTTCATGGGTAGCATGCGGCTGTCAGTGACCCATATAAGTAGGCACAACTCACGAATCCGCGTGTGGTGGTGCTTGCTGCTTTGGGATGCACATGGCGCATCATTTGGCGCACATAAAGCCTTTCCAAATTGCCAGCCAACGGCTCTGCAATGTTTCATGTTTTGAAGATGCTTTTGGAAAACGTGCAAGTTCTTACCAAGTTTTACTTGTTTGTAACATACCTTCCTAGTTCACAACACTCCCCTGCCTCACTGCGATGATCTCTACCAGCCTCGGAGTTAGCGTTCATGCCAGTTGGTCGAGAAACGAGGTGGAACAAACCCTATGTAGTCCCAAGAATTCCTGTTTTGTTCTTGAAGCCGGAAAACCCACCACAAGCATCCAGAGGCGGGCTTGTCTGAAGACACTGGTCTCCAACCCCGAAAGCTTGCCTTACACCCAGAAGAAGACTTTAACACCAGCTTCCATTCGCTATGAGGGCTTAGGGTAGTGTTCATCTCGGGTAGTTGGATCTCCATGAAATCGTGTACAAGGGGGAGAGCTGACCCATTCACGTTATCATAACGCACCTTGCTTTCGATCCGAGGCTAGCACATTGAGGAGAAGCGAAGTAACAATTCGTAAGTGACACATGCGGTCATGGGCACAGGCGGGATACAACCAGCCTAGCCAAGGGCAGAAGTATCAAACTAATCCCGTACCAAAATAAGCCCTCCACTGTCCAACTAGGAAGTATTCCCAATACAACGCCGATAAACGCCTTGGGGAAAATTGATTGTTGGGGTTGGGGGGTGGGGCCTTCTTTTGCCAGGCCGATTTGAAGAAGTGCTTTGACAAAGGCTGCTTGGCCTTCACGACTTGTTTTGTCATCGTCCTAGAAGGCATTTGGTAGGTTCTCAAACTTGTGGTCCCAATTTGAGCGCCCCAGGCTAATTCATAAGGCACCTAAAAAAAGGGGGCCATAATTTCACAACTTTGCATTTCCTCTTTCACAGGTGCCGCTATGTACAAATCACACGCAGATTTGTTTTCCAGACCTTGACCACCTGACATTACTGTACCTGGAGTACAGAAGCGTTTTAAGAAGCCACGTTGAAGGGAGAGAATGATCACATCCACCTTCCTGATCAGTTGGCCACCTGAACGGCATGGGTAAATCCACACATAGTTGCGATCGACAGCAGCTTGCTGCGTGAGACCTAGACAGTCTGCTCCTTCAAAACTTGAGGAGATCTCAAGGCAAGAACCTCTAAGGGGGCTCTTCCAACAGCCTTCCCTGCCTGGGAGCCGCTGAACCCTACCTGGAAACCTGGTGTCTCAAACAAGATACAACCTGCAGAACGTGCCTTCAAAGGGACACCTCATTTTTGTAAACCGCCCATATAGGCTACTGTCAGTACTTGCCTTATGAAGGGAGCCTAAACAATGGACATAGGGGTCCTCTGGTAGTTTAGTATAGTCCCTAGTATGGTCCCTAACAAGGAACCCATGTCCATTAAAGCACGTAGCGAATATAATTGACTGTGGCGCGCAAATACTCTGATCCAAAAACCTGTTGCGCAGGCAACCTGTCCAAGTTCGCCCACATCGGACTCATCTATGCTTTGGGCGACATCTTCGAGATGGACTCTTATCAGGGGATAAGTTTCAGGTGTCTCTGAATCCTGAGGCCAGGCTTCATACGCCCGTTACAGTCAGTATTTCACTGCAGCTGCACAAGCTCAGCAGTTTCCGCAAAAGAGAGACAAATGGGAGGGTTTTATTCCAGATCCCCACCCTTGTTCTGAAGCTGTCACAGGAACCCTGCTGCAAGGTCCTACTACATAGTGCATAGGTTGGCGGTCCCTTTTTCTGGAAGCCTTAAAACCTAGCCTAGGAGTCCGTGAACTACATCGACTCCTCCACATACACGGTTCTTTCCCAGTCCAAGCTCATCATCACGGCAACCTTGAGACCCGGCTGGTGAACTTGTGAGGTGGACCTTTTAGGTGTTGGAGGTTTAGGGTTTAGGGTTTAGGGTGGGGTTTGGCGTTTACTTGGGCGTTGGGTACTTACACCCCAAGTATAGCTGTGCTTCCAAGCCAACTATGGCCAGACCCTTATTTGGCCTACAGCTATGATTGGGTGGTAATTGACGTCATTCTTCACTGTGGCTGCACAGTCTGAGTTTCCGCCACATTTTCTATATGATTCTCAATTCGGTTTGGTTATGATTCCTGGCATATCCAGGGCAAAGCCCAAGATATTGTCTAAACTCCTAGTATCCCCCTTAATAACCCCTATAGTAGTCCCCCATATAATCCCCCATATAACCCCCCTTTGAGGAGTTTAGACTATAGCTCACATGAATTTCTGTTGCTGACGACACGGAGGCCTGAGCTCTCTCGGTGGTCATCGTCATCGTCATAGTGTTAGCTGTATAGGAGGAGGATGAGTAATTAAGAGTAGAGGGAGAAGGAGGAGGAAGAGAGGCCTTTAAGTTGACTTGAAATGAGAGCCATGAGTTTTCTTCAACGGGCTTTTGGGCCTCGGAATTCTATTATTGTCAACATTTGTCAGCCCTTGTTTGGATTATCACCCGCTCAAAACCCTAGGGTGCATATAGGCGGATTGGAAATCCTGGTTTGCAATCAACATCAAACTACGGCTTCATTTTGCCCAGAAAAGTTTATCATTCACATCCCACTTTTAAAAGCGAACTACGTTACCTAGGCCCTGGGCTCCAAGTCGGGGTTGGAGAGGCGGTTTAAGGTTTTGGGTTTAGGGCCTCCTTTTTGGGATCCTTGTAACGGGGATTCCTTATTCTGTTTGGAGATGCATAAGGAGGACACCGAGTGTTGGAAACCTCCTTCTGTATACACTACATACATATTGGGTCCTGCCCCCTCTCATTAACAGCTGGCTGGGTCTGGAAAGTATGTATTACATGCTTATTTTTAGCCCTTAATATGACCTCTATTATAGACTGTTAATGGGTGGGGGCAGGACCCAACATACATACTTCCTCGGTTTCTGGTCTTTGGCGTGATTTCGAGACACCTACATGATGAGCGTTTCAGGCTTCGTTTGGGTTAGACTCCCCGCAGTAACCGTAGTACACAAGCTGTATATGTATATTTGTATATTATACAGAAGAGAGAGATGTATGTCCATGCTAGTTAATTACTACTGTGCCTTGTGGGCTCGGTGCTGATCAAAGGCGTTTTTTGTGAACCAGCCGCTTTTTTTTGTAAATGCTGGTGATTTATGGGGAAGAGGGACTGGACAAGGAATTTGAAATTACATAACGCCTTGCAGAGTGTATAAGTAGGGACTACTGCAGGGCTTCGTTCCCACTGCCTGCTAGACACCACTCCTAGACCCCCAATCCAATCCCTAAGCCCTAACTCTTTGAGCTAAAGATCCTTGCCCTGGCATAGGTTAGTAATAATGGGATTTTGCCCGACATGCTTGCCAGCCTTGCTTTTGGCATAGATCCCTTCCCCATAGCATTAGGCACTCAATGGAACCCTAAACGAGAGTATACTTGCCACTGCAGAGGATGTGGATTCTCGATGGCTCTGCCCAGAGCATGATGCAGCATCCCGGCTGTGCGGATGGGTATACCCTAAAGGTCCTAACAGTGTCTTTACTAGACCTACTGGTTTGGGCCCTACATTGTGTCCAAGGACTTTCGTCTCCGTTAAGTAGATACAATATGGCTTTGGGTATATCATAACAAGATCCCCATATATCCCATATTCTAGCTACTGAACGGGGACTATCAATGAAGTTTAGGTCCTGCAACTTCAGCTGCTGCTTACTTGAAGAACTTCAGGCCCTCTAAGAAACCCCTGGGTTCCCTAAGCCTGATAGTTCTAGGGTCCGTCTTAGCAGTTTTGTCCTGTTAGGGGATTCCCTTCAGATCTACGCTAGAAGCAAAGTTGGGGAAGGTTCTCAAACTTGGCACGAGCCCGATGTGTTTTAAGATTTTCCGCAAACATGTAAGAAGCTTGCATGTGGGAGTGCGTCGTGTACGGGCTGAAGCGCCGTTTAATACTCGGCTAGTCTTAACCAGGAAGATGAAACACGTGCGGAATGCACGTCAAGTCCCCTTAAGATGAGCAGCAAAACCTATCCTACAAGCCAGCGTCGGTAGAACTCCTGACGCCCTACACTTCACGCGTCAGGGCATTGTGTACCCTTTGAAGCCAGCACCCTTAACCTTCACACCCGACCTCCGGTTGAATTTCCTTAGGTCTGAGCCAAGTTCTTCTTGGATGCATCCCACAGTACCCCGAAGGAGGAACCATACAACAGGAGGCCCAGGTACTGGGACCCCTGATGAATACAGCCTTGTTCTGCAAGGAGCCGGATGGTAGGATCTCCACTGGCTGAAAGCTCTGTTATGCTCTAAGCTGCATGAGCACCACTATGCTGAAGTCTGCTACACAGGGATCTGATTAGTTACTTCTAGTGCTTCACCGTATTGCTTGTATTCCGAGGGCAAGATGCCATTATATTCATGGTTTATTCCGCCTCTTGCGCTAGATCAGGCACGTAATCCGCAGGATCATCCACAGGCCATTTTGCAAGATATTATGGGCGAGGCATGAGTGCGGTAGAAGCCACCCTCTTGTAAGCCACCAAGCGCCAACAACACAAACAGCCCAACCCCCAAGCTGATAGATCTAAACAAGCATTGTGAAGCTCTGCAATTCCTTACTCCACCCACTCTACTCTAAACCCTATATCTCTCGTAAACCCTCAGGTGGTTCATCCTGTTCACGACCTCTTCAGGCATGCTCGAGTATGTGTTGGTCGGCAAGGCCAAGGGAGACCCGGCTGGCAACAGCTCGCAGAAAGGCTGTCTACTAGTAACCATTCACAGAGAGCGAACGGATGCCTGGAGTTCATATTGAAAATTACAAAGCACGGGTTAGAGGGCTTTTTTTAGGGTTTCAGGGTTTAAGTGTTCGGGTCCGGGCTTAGCATCATTGGAGCATGGGCATTGGGTTTTGAAAGGGTTAGGCAGTGACTGTGATTAAACTGGGTTCTGCCAGAGTTATATAGGGTTCAGGGTTGACGGAGCCATTCGAGTTGAACATGACGCTCCCTTGCAACGTACGCATAAGCAGGTGATATAGCAAGATATGGGGGGCTGTGCCACTATGCCGGCCAAAGATTTCCCCCCATATGGTACAGATGCACTCAATTAGGATCCTGGTTCGAAGGACCTCTACTGCCACTGCTCAACCAGCAGCCAGCTTTTGGTGATACTCATGTCTTGACTTACGGGACTTAAGCCGTCCCTCGTCACCTAACCCTTAAGCGCTTTTAGAAACCAACCCGAGCCCGGCCCAAAACCTCCGTCAAATCCTCACGTCCAACTCCTTCCCAAAAATGGCCTCAACTGGTTGCCCGAAATTCTCACGAAATGGCCAACCCTAGAGTCCTCTGCAACCAGTGGTGATGATATTGGGCAACTGGGTAGCTCCAGCCCCCAGAGCGACAATCTTCTTTCGGAGTTTTGGGCAACCTGGGGCTACAGCTCATGCATTAATACAGGGGGAATAGACAGATGATGTGGCATTGAGCATTTCTGCTACACCATGTGTTTTCTGGTATTCTCCGAGGTGCTGTAATCCATCTCATCGGTACCTCCTGAAATGGGGACCCCTTTTTTAGGAGCCCCAGAACGGGTGTAGAGTTACTCCTATATTTTCCCTTTCCGTTTCACTTACCATCCATCATCTCTACTAATGCCTAAATTTCATACTTCCCCAACCCCGAAATTTAGAAACCATATTCTTGCTTATCCCGAGGAGGGGCGATGGTCTTCAGCGTCTTCGGAGTCTGCCTCGCTATCGTCAAGGCCGGAGGTTTCGGGCCCCCGGAGGTTTTGCAGGATTTAGGGTTTAGGGTTTAGGTAGTATGGGGATTTTATAAAGTCGGGATTGGGGTCTATGTATGGATATAATGTGCTTAGCGGATACTAACCCAACAATGGAGAATCAAATGGAAGGGGGGTGACATGCAAAGTAAGGATAGACATGGTTTATATGGGGTTAGATCACATGGAAAGAACCAGATTATTCGTGCTTCAGGGTTTAGGGCTACTAACAAACCCGGTACCCCTCCCCCCTACCCCAATGCCTAATAGGCCTAATACCCCCATGCAGGACCATTATCTAGAAAGTAGATCTCCCTCAATCAAGCAGGGTTGCAGGTGGTGACGTACCAGGTGGGTAAGTTCATGTTAGGCTTCCATGAATAATTCAATAGCAGTGTAGAGTACCATTTAGGGCCTGTACTTTGTTAGTTTTCCAATGGGTCTGGGGTGTCACGCCTACACTGTGGGACCTAAGGGTCGGGCCTTTGAAGACTTGGATGTTTGGGGTTTACATGCTTCAGTGAAAGATTCGGCAATTTGGGTTAGTCGGTCGGAGTGGATTTCTGAGTTTGCTTGAGGTACGTGAGGGCAAACCAACTGCGGGCTAGTGTTTTCATTTCGTCTTCAATGTTGCAAGCCGCAAGTAGTAGCACCTGTGATTCCATCTTTCCACAATGTTTGGCTAGTCTAGGCCCATTTGTTGTTGTTCTGCTTCTTGTTCGAGAAGAAAATTGCCTACATTCAGAATCAAAGAGGTTTCGATGTGAATTAGACTTTGGCATGGCCCCAGGATTCCACGGACAAGCTGCGCTGGGTCCAGCTTAGTTTGAACGTTGCTGGAAATGAAGTGGCTAGTGATCAGAAGTTGTTGCAGACGCAAGGCCCTGTGGCACCCGGCCACACCACAGTTGGTGAAAACTCCACTTTCGGACATCTGGTTTGAGAGCTTGTGTTGTATATCGTGTAAGATATGCCCAGGTCTGCATCAGCTGCTACGTGGCCGTGCTCAACACCAAAGCGCTGAAGAGGGATAGCAACCCCTTTCCCGTGCAGTTCTCCTGCCTGAAGGCGCGCCCAGGATTGCAGAAGGATCCTGGTGTCTTAAACGCGAGGCTTAGAATTTGCGGCGTAGCGGTTCTGTGCAGACCTGCTCACAGGCTCTTGGCCACATGTTGCTGCATTTGCCATTCGTCATTAGTTCATGTTGCTGCATACTGGTCGCCTGCGGCCTGGCGATGAAATAATTAACCTGAAGCATATGTCAGCTGCGCATGGTCATTGGCTAAAGCTGCTTGGGTGGCTGTCAAGGGTCAGTACGCAGCGTTGAAAAGACCTAGAGGCTAGAGCCCCATACTTTACAAGCATGTTTCTCTAGTCACTTTGATTTTTGAGGGGACCACGAGAATCCCCTTTTCCAGCTTATATGAACCTATACATATATATATATATATACACATGTGTGTGTCTAGGATCTTTACAGGGCAGCCCACTGTTTTGAGAGAGACTGAAGTCTCCTTCCTCTTGCCGTGGGCTCGATAGAGCTCAGTAGCATCGATCAGTTTTCGCAGCAAAAGTGATCTGAGGGCATGACGAGGTTTGAGTTTGAAGGGTTTCAGGTTCAAGGTTCTGCTTAGGGGTTTAAGATTCAGAGTTTATAGGGCTTAGCTTAGATCATTCCCCCTCAAGGTAACCGTTACCGTGATAGGTGGTAAGAGTTTCTAGCCCCGACGCGGGAATTCACCCGTGGTGTAGCTTGTAGCAGATGGCCTCTCTTCCTTCCAGGTCTCCTGGGCCTTTGCAAGCTTGGTCTACATGGTTGTGAAGGACGCTGGCATGGGACGGGGCAAGGGGTCCCAAACATAGACCCCAGTAATCTACCGCGGGGCCGCCTTTGTGTACTTGTGCGAACGTCAGAATACTGCAGTTGATTGATGTGCGAACTTGTGCATCCTTTGCAGCAAGGTTCAAGGCTTCTTAGGTTTCTACAGAGATCGAGAGCCAATCTTAAGCCAGCAGTTGCAGAGCCTGCCATGCTTGTTTTAGAGCTTTTTCTGGGTTGTCCAATGCGCAGGTAAGCACGAGACAGAATCCGCGTAGGCGCACTGCTTTGTACAGACCCCTTGGCGCCCAGATCTGAAACAAAGACATTGATGCGGTTCTCAGGTCGCTTGACAGGGGCCCCGCGGAAAAGCACTCAAGGTACTAGCCGGTCCTACTGAAAATCGGATGAATTGTGTTTCAAGACTTTTTTGGCCTCCCTGAAAGCAGAATGGTTCTTTGTGTTCCCAGTTTGAGCTTTGGCTGCGCGCAGGCCATCTTACATCTACAAAACTACTGGGTGGCAAAAATGTCGAACCAATCGATCGTTCATGAAAATGAGCTAACGGAATAGACAGCTTGATCGTAGCAGACTGTTTGCGAACTTCTGGAACAGTAAAAGGGCAATCGCGCTTAAAGATTTGAGGTCGTGCCGTTCTGAATCAGACGAAGTTACCAAGCCCGAATGGAAAACGCTTCAGAAGCCCCAGGCGATGGCACGTGAAATGAAGTGTCCAGAAGTGCGCACAGAAGAACATAGAAGCTGTATGCAACCCCGAGGACTGTGCATGACCAGTTAGCCCCAAACTAATCTTAATTTCTTGATCACACCCCTGCCATTCAATCCCCCCTGTTATTATTACATGCCAGCGCGTAAGAGATAATGTGTAAAGTTGGCTCCAGGCTGCCCTAAGGCTCCTGGTCAGGGCACAAGGCTCCTTTTCCTACATCTATAGGGTTAGAAGTATGCGCTGATAACATGCACCTGTAGCCAGTTTAGCCGGGGCTTGCGGGCCCCGAGGTACATGTATGTATGATGTATACTTACTAGGTATGTAGGGACCTCTCGGAACCTGGCTTATTGTTTCAAATTATTTGCATGTCTTTGACTTGGTTGACCTTAGACCTTTAGGGCTTTAGGCTTTGCTATTGCTTAAAACAGATTATTATCATGGATTCCTCCGGTCATTTTGCGCCCATTCCAGTTGTTCTATCAAACTTCACCCGCCCAACTTAAATACATATAGTACTTGCCGAGAAAAGGAGGACCCCAATATAGACCCCAAAATATTGTAATCTTACTATGGGCCCTAAGACGGTACCCGCCCCCTTCCGGGAAACTCCCAAATAGCATCCTGTGCCCCTGTAAACGGTTAACCGCGACAAATGGAGGATGGCATCCTTGGAGACGGCATGTGGGGTGAGTGGACTCACCGCACTGTGGTCCTTGTCTTCTGCGGCTTCATTCTCAAGACCCTCTTCAACCAGCACCTGTGCAGTTGAAATCTATAAAAGGCTGTCCCTGTGTGAGATTTGTTTTCGGGAGCCCCGGAGCTCTGAAAAGATTCATGTTTCCAGTGCATTTCCACACAGATTGCCGATAACCCGGGTCCTGCAGATTTTGCAGCTTGAGGTTGTAAACCTACTGCCCGCTCGTATTCTCCATATTCTTGGACATGGCCAGCTAGACAACCCTACTCTAGTCTTCACTTCCTCTTCAGGTTTCTCCATGGTCTGTTGCCCGTGCTGGCCCAGATATTATCAATGTGGGGTATACTTAGTATCAGGGGCTGTTTTTGATATGGCGTCAAAGTAATTTTCTGCTTATCATTTTGCATGCTAGGCTCAATGAATGCTTGAGGGCAACTGTAATCTACGAATAGCTGTATGCGTGACCCAGGCATAACGGTCGGCAAGGGACTTGGCTAGCGCAAGCGCGTTGTCCTTTCCATTGCAAGAACATGTTGGCTTGTTTTGCTTCCTGGCCCGTGCATTCCTACATATCCACGCAGAGAGTTGCTCGGGACATTAAATGACTTGATATGTGGAAATCTAGTTCATCTCCAAGTACCTTCATTGCCGTGGAGCCATGAAAAGGTTGTTGTATCCAGAGAAACAGACAGAATTCCTTAGAAACCCTCGCTCTTATTTTGGAAGCCCCCAACGACTTAGTAGAGCTCTGCCGGCATCAAGCTCAGCACGAAAAAGCTGAGCCCACCAAACTGATGAGAACCCACACCCTCCTCATAATGAGGATTCCCCTTAAAAATGCAGTTGTAGCTTGATTTAAGCGGTGGCGGGTTTGTTAGGGCGAGGGGTTATTTAGATGGGATACAAAACAAAATGATTGCAACAGGTTGCTTCTCCTTACAGTAGAGGGTATAATATTGAACAATCCCCTGCAGCATGCCACAGTAACAAGACATTCTCCGTCTACTTGGCAACTAGAATTAGGGTCGTTCAATGTTTTGTTTTGGGCCTTGGGGCGCCCAAAATCACATCCCAAACTCTGCCCCCCAAAGCCCTACGGTCTTCGCTGCAAAGTTCGGGACATTCCTCAGAGCCTCAGGGAGGGAAATGGGATTGCCAAGGTACTTGCTCAAGGTCTTGGACGCCATCTGGATGCTCCGTCAGCAAGCGCTAGTTCCTTCCAGCAGCCTCAAACTTCTCCAAGCTTCTTGTAGTCATGCTTTGTTCTCTCTTGATTCTAGAGCAGCCTCTTCTTCTGTGGAACTCTTTGCGGTGTGGGCGAAAGAGCTTATGGGCTTTCGCAAGGTTTTCTCTGGAGTCTTAGGCTAAACCATGGGCTTCAATCAATGACTGTCCAAGAAGGGTCCGAAACACTGGCAGGGGCCTCATGTAGGTGACTCGGACCATGTCATGTGTGCAATGTTCAGAAACTGGTGATTGATTTACTGCACGTGCTGCCTCACAGAGCATGAAGCAGCGGCATGATGTTACTCACCGCCGCACCGCACAACTTTGCACATCTGCAGCACAAGACCAGCCCTCTTCCACAGGCAGGGACGAAACAGCTAGATATGCCATGCGTTGGAGGCGCATTGTCAATGAGATCGTACCCAACCAAAGCAACATCTTCTTCTCATAGCTTCAGCAATGTCATCCCCGTTGTGGGACCTGTCATATTGCGAAGCATGCCATCGTGAGGGCTTGAACCCAAAGCTTTCAGCTTCTTGCTGTCGCTGCTGCATTGCGCGTTTCTCACGCCCGCAGTACTCGAATAAAGTGCACCAAGACTAGTATCTAATGGCCCTGTCAACATCATTGTGGCGTGCTTGCTGTACAAAGCAAGATACTCTTGATTCCAGAGGGCCTGAGTCCTCCGCCTCACTCCCCCCGTCCCTTGAACCTGCATACCAGAAACGCTTTGACTTGACCCCTGAGACAGGTACATCCTAATTTTCTGAAAGCCCTCATCCCTCCTCAAGCTCACTGAAGCCTCCCAGGAAGAACATCAGCGAGGCGATCGGTGTCATCTTGGTGTACTTCGGACGCGTGATTTTCCTTGGAGGCGTCTTGCCCGCTTGGGGTTTCCAGGATAAACGCTTCCTCTGGGTGCAGCACCTGTAGATCCCCCCACTTTTTCTTCATTCAGTCCCGGGAGCGTAAAGCAAAGAAACATGTCGACGTGCTTGGTAATGTGGCCATGCTGCCTACAAACAGCGATCCACAGCAGGCCGGGGATGCTCACTGCGCGAATCCCCTGAGCCGAAGACATCAAGTTTCAGACATCTCCATGTGATGTGGCATATGCAGGAAAGTATGACCCTACCGTTTTCAACGCTGGCGTTACCGTGGTCTTGGCTTGCATCGCTTACGTGCTCTCCAAGGCCGGTGAGCGGCGAAAAGCGCGCTTGAAAGCAATTCTCTCGCATGTTGTTCACCTTTGAGTCACACAAAGAAAAATACGCCGAATAGGTAGGCAAGGGAGGATTTAAGGAGTCTAGGATAAACTCTTGATGGGGCTGTCTTGTCAAACCCCCCCTCCTCTGCCCTGCGAGTAGGGTTGACTGCGGGTTCTTTAAGATGGATTCATGCTATGTAGCACCGGCCGAGTCCCGCAGCACACCCAATCCGCACACTCCTTCGCCAGCAATGCTAATGTGGTTCCCATGGTGCGATCCTCGAAGCAGGAAAGCAAGGCAAAGAAGAGCGATGTGGGTGATGAGCTCAATCCCGAGATGTACCCTGACCTCACGACGTTCCTGGTTGGCATTAAACGACATGTTTTGCACCTTGGGATGCTGTTTTGCAGGGGCTGAGGACGAACCCAAACTAGTGGCTTCAACCTCATGCAGAGCTCCCAACCTCAATGTGGGTTGTTTGATCAAGGCAGTTTCTATTGTTCAAAAAACTGGCTGCTTCATCCCGGAAGCGGAGATCTAGATGTCCAGGAATTCCCTAACAGGGTGCTGTTATAAACAAGCTCGACGTGGTTCCACGGCTTTGCCCTGACTTTGCATGCCCTATCTCCTGCGTGACCTTTGCTTTTAATCTGACAACCAAAATAATTAGCCTTCAATTAAACATCCCAAGCCCCAATACGTCCATATGCATTCTGGGGCAATCGCACAAACCTGGTTGTCAGTTCTGAATTAAATGCCCACCTCAATGCCGGTATAATGCAGATTCTGCTTCTGGCTCTGTAGTCCCAATTCGCCCCACAAATTCGAAACAGTTTTCGCAGTGGTTTTAAATCGGTTTTGATGTGCATGTCATAAGCTTTTAGATCCTTTTTGCCTTGCATGCTTCTAGCCAAGCGGGGCGGAAAAACACAATGTCCCCCAACCCAGCGCAACCATGCGCAAACCCCCAAAGCCTACATAGCCACTTTTAGCCCCATGCATCTTTAGGTCCCTGCTTCGACACCGCCGTCCGTGAGGAAATCTGCCATGGAACAGCCCTCCACCCCGGGGCCTCAAGGGCCTTTAGGGGTTTCAGGGGGTTTCAGGTGTTCAGGGTTTGGGCCGGAAGCGATTCAGGTTTGGTGTTAGGGATGTAGGTTGTGTAGGCTGTAGGTCGGGTGAGTCAGAAGTTTAAGGTTGAAAAGGTTCAGCTTGGCTTCCTGAACCTTGCGAACTAACCGGCAATTACCGGGTCAGCGTCAGAGATACCCAACAATTTTTGGAGTATGGGTTTTTTCATACTTCTACAAGAACAGTCTTTGTTTGTTCCCCAGGTGAACATGGACTAAGTTGACCCTTGAGCTCTAGAAGCCAGGGAATTGGAAGCTTTGGATTTGGAGCTTGGGCTCGTGACTTGGAGGTTCCGCCTTAGGGCTTTGCCACTTCGGATAGGGATTCAGTCATGGGGACTTAGTAAGTATGTTAATAATGGAAAAGAAAATGGAAACTACTATAGTATTTAGGGTTTAGGGTTTAGAGTTGTTGCATTTTGGGTTCAGAGCTGGTCCCTAGCTGAGACAGGGAGAAGGTGAGAAGGGCTTACTACGGGGTCTGTTTGGCATTCAGGCCGAAGACATGGCCAGGCAGGGTCCCTATGGGTGTTTCCCAAAATTAATGGTACCTTACTGGAGGGTGCCTGAGAACAAGCGACTGTGATTATAGCCTTTACCGGTCTACAGTGGATCCCCATTTAGGTAAACTCCCATCAGACGATGGTTGTGTCTGTTCAGATTACGGCGGTTCATCTGTCTGCATACTTCAGCAAGGCTTAGGGTTCAGTGTCCTCCTCAACTTGGAGGCATCAAGACATCAGTCAGGGGCAACAACAGGGGCGAAGCTGGACTCTACATTATACTCCATGCTGAGAAAGGTCCCTGGGCCCTTTGGGCTGGGGGGTGGCATAGAGCTGATTGATTTGCCTGAGACAGCAACACTTGCGATGCAGAAGCGCGCAGATATTTCGTCGCCTGTCTGTAGTTGGCATCATCATCACTAATGCAGTAGCACTACTTGGGGTATAGTTGTTGCTGCGCCCCTTGCTGGTACCTGTGCATTACCACTGCTATTCATACAAGTCACGCACATTGAGTTCGTCAGCTGCTTAGCTATGGCAAGTCCGGCCCCACAAGCGATGAAAGCATTGCCCTTTGCGGAGTCACATTGTTACCTGCCGTGTGGGGTATTCTAGTCTCATTGGACATGTTGCCATATTGTCTTCGAGAAGCGCGACCCATAGGACATGAGGCAGCGAGAATCCCCAAGACGCGTGCAGAAGCTGTACTTGACACTGATCAGCATCCCGGCGTTTCCCTGCGGGGAAGTGCCACACGCATGCCGTACTCATTTTCCGAACATTGTCTGCAAATGCTGTATGGAAGCTGTTCTGCATATCTGCCATGAGTCGCGTAAGATATGTACCTCCCATGACGCTTCCTAGCAACCGCTCCCAAATCTCTCATTACACTCACCCATCCAGCTCTTCGATTCCCAGAGGATATCCCTGTATACACCTGTAGGCCCCTTACTAATCGCTTTGCCCTGATATTAAACGCCGGCTCCCCCCTAATATTCAAAAAATCCGGGGTCCAAAACATTATTTAATACATGACTGGGCGGATAGTTTTGTCGCATGTACGTGTTTCTACATTGCGGAGGACGCTGAGTATTCAGAAGCTCATTTCCACTGGCCTG